AGAAAGAGAAAGGGATGGTTTGTTTTTACTTGAGCCTGCCTTTGTACCCTTTTTAACTTAAAGAACAGAGCCACACCGGTATTATATGTGTATAGTTATATTGCGTTTGCAGACTAAATTGTCATGTGAAAGTTTGTGTGTTCTTAATTTTCTTCCCTTTCTCTTTCTTTCTTTTATTTTATTATATTTTTTTAATTCTTTTTTTGTTTTGTATGAGAGAGAGGTTAAAAAGGTTTGGTTTACACTGAGTATATGTTGTCAAGTGGCAAAAGTCCACATAGCTCTCCTGTTTTCTGTATACGTTCACAGCCTCAAAAAAAATAATTGAAATGGCTTTAAAAACCAAACAAAACACCTCCATCCTGTGATAAGTACCTCGAATGGATTCAGCTTTACTCCTTTGTAACTCATCTTTACATTTTCAGCATATTTAAACAAACCAACAAAATGAAATACTTGTAGTTAAAGGCTGACCCACGTGGCTTTGCAGTGCTGTTCGTCCAGAAGCATGGCACACGACGCTTGTGCATGTGGAAACTTAGCGACTGTCAACATACATTCTCAGGGATTTATCAAAAATTAAAAAAGAATGAGAGCATTTATTGTACTGTATATATATTATAGTATATGTCTGAATATTGAAAATATAACATTAACTAATTTATAAAAAATATTCTATGTAATGCAAAATACTTGAAGCTGCAGTAGCTTGGTTTTAAACAAAAACAAAAAAACTGAGAGAAAACCTATCAGAAGGACTAAAAGTGCGCCTTGCTTCAGGGTTGGCTCAGGCGGTGAACTTCATGCTGGGCATCTATGCAGAGCCACCTTCTGGATTGCATGGTTGGACTGAGATCTATTGGGAGAAATTATATATGTATATATATTTATACAACTTATGTATACATATATATATATGTAGTCACACAGACACAAGACACATACATACCACCAACAACAACCACTACACCACACATGCTTGTAACAGGCACTAGAAGAAAGAGAGACAACAAATACACAGCCAGAGCAGCAAGCCTTAGCATTAAGAATATACAGTGTGCCGGAACTGGGGTTCGTGCCTCCTAGCCTAGGAAACTTAAAAGAAGTATCCTTTTGACACAAACGCAAAATGTTTTCCAAAACAATTGACTTATGATACATAACGCCTTTGCAGTGAGCTAATGAGCTAACCTTTGTGCACAGATAGCATTATATATATTATATGTCTGTTCTGCACAGGTATTTTGACTTTGTGCAGGACAGAAAGTTGTGTAGGTATGACTGTTCTACTTTTCAGTTTTCTTTCTTTTTTTTAAAATATATTTTATTTTCTCTAGAATTACTCAAAACAAAAGCAGCCTTCTATCTTGCCTTGTCTTAATGCTTTAAAATAACCAAACTGGAGATCTAACTACCAAACTGTCCATTATATTATTAAATACCAACTTTGGTTACAGTATAGTGTCTTTACTTTAGCTGATGGTTCTGTAACCTTGTGCTTTTTAAAGCAATTTTTATGTTTTGGTGCAAAAGTTGTCCAGTGTCTCTTGTTCCCTTCATTAGAGAACATGCTAGAGGTATGTTTGTAGGTATTTTTGTTTAGAAGAACTATTTCATGCGCTCCATTTTATTTATTATAATAGGTAAAAAGAAAAAAAAAAGGTTGTACTTCATCACCCATGTAAACATGCTCATGAAGTTGAAAGTAATTAAGATTTGATACACTGATATCAATTTATTTATGTAACTAAATCACTGTTTTATAAACTTGTTAATGATCAACAATTTTTGTTTTGATTAAAATTAGTTTTTTGAAAGTTGATTCTGCCTCCTTTATGGTATATCTCTTACTACACTTGATTATAGATCTGGATTGTACTACATCTCCAAATGTTTAACACTATATTCATTCATCTAATAAATACGTCTTATTTTGTAGGCCCTGAAGATACAGAGGTGAACAAAACTAAGCACTGCAGCTTACTGTCTGCTTAGTGGAGAAGACAGACGTAGGTCAGATAACAACAAAGATAAACTATAAGGCAGAAGAGCCAATTTTCCTTCAACCTGTATACTTAGTCATCCCCTCCTAATTAATAAACTATAATTTAGAACACTCAGTACTTGATATAATTAATAAATGCTAAGTTTATGAAAGGTTTTAGTGTGCAGTTTAAAAGGAACTTACATTATAAGGGTAAATGCTACGTATACATTATAAGCATCTGTCCTGCCCCATCTCTGTCAAAACTCTACTCACAATGCAAATGTGTTTTGCTTTTTGTGTGTAGAGTAACACCATAAAATTGACCATCTTAACCATTTTTTAGTACACATTTCAGTAGTGTTAAGTATACTGATACTGTTGTGAAGCAGAGCTCCAAAGCTTCCTTCTCTTGCAGAACTAAACTCAATATCCATTAAACAGCTGCCGTCTTGCTCTTCCCCCAGGCCTGGAAACCACCATTCCACTTTCTATTTCTATGAATTTGATTTGAATTTGAAGTTCTGTGAATTACTTTAGAGACCTCATACAAGTCACAGCATTTGTCCTTTTGTGACTGACTTATTTCACTTAGCATATGTCCTCAAAGCTTATTCATGTTGTAGCATGTGATGGGATTTCCTTTCTTTTGTAAAGACTCATAGTATTCCACTGTACGCGTGTATCATATTTTGTTTATCCATTCATCCTTCGGTGGACATTTGGTTGCCTCAACCTCTAGGCTATTGTGAATAGTGCTGCTGTGAACATGAGTGTGCAGATACCTCTTTGTTACTCTCCTTTCAGTTCTCGTAGATACATACCCAGAAGTAATATTGACAGATGTTTTTCAAAGCTAGAGTTTTCAGAATATTTACTCCCTTGAAATATTTTTAAAATTACCTTTGACATCTAGTCTTAACAGTACATTGCAGATGTCAAGAGGTTAAGTCAGTAGGTAGAAGTTGAAATAAATGAGTCTGTGGTGACATTTTAAAATCCCATTAACGCCAAGTAGAAATAAAAACTATAAATGGTATGAGGATTGATTGTTTTTTGGAAGTTTATTCTTAGTTTTTTGAAAGTCGGTGCTGCCTTAGGGTAAATATTAATTCATGTGGATCCATTGAAACCACCAGGACATTTTTGTAATGAAGTAGACTGCTAAGAAGTCTGGAGGGGTGGCATGAAATGAGGAACAAAGGTGACTTGTAGTGGCTAAGAGTCAGATTTTTCCAGATGGAAAATTGGTCTGTGTCCATTGACTGTCTTTGCAGAGACCTCATAGTTGTGTGGACCTTTAGCATAGACGAGACCAAGGATTACAAGTGAGCTCATTCCTTCCCATCCCCATTTTAGCCAACATGCTTGGACCACCAGGATCTGTTTTTTGGGTATGACTGTGGTCAAGTACATAAACTAATTGATGTGTACGTGTTTTCTTACCTTCCAATGGATGTGCTAGCAAAAATCCTGAGGTGGTTAAAATTCAAACAGCAGATAGGAGAAATGGAAGAAGTGACAAACTTGGGTAATTCGAAGACAAGAGAAATTGTTCCTAATTGGGGACTGGACTGTAGAATTCTGCATTTCCCTGCTCTTGACTTGGGATTTCATTTGAGCATAGAGGTTATAGTTTCAGGGTGGAAATGAATGTTTCATGACTCAAATATTAAGTCATTTGAATAAAAATTATTAACTCAAGTCATTATAGTCAGAATATTATAATAATATGATATAGTAGCAAAGGAGAACCGAGCTTTTTCTAAATGCTGAAAAGATTGTTAAATGGCAGCTGTTTCAGGAATTAATAAATGGCCAGCGAGAAGATGTAGAGAGAAACATCATTCAGTAATCCGAGAGTTAAGAAATGTGACTGAGGTAAAATTTCAGATGAACTGTTTTACACCAGTCTGAGGACCGATTCACGCCAGTGTCAGTAAAATAGGTTGAAATGTGAGATATATGGGAAGGATTCTGAACATTTTGTTCTGCAAACTTTTTGTGTGCCTACTGCAGGATAGGCATTGTTCCAGGTGCTAAGACAAGTAGGTGGAGAAATGCCTATTCTCATGGCGTGTATGTGCTAAGTGGGAGGAAAACCTAAATACTAGGTGTTCTAAGGAAAAGCAGGGGGAGGGGTGCTCTTTCAGGTACTTAGGGAAGACTCCTCCGGTGTGAAACAGGGAGGAGGGAGCTGGCCCTGTTGCTGTCGGCAGGGGTATGTTTGAGGCAGAAGGAACAGCAAGTGCAAGGAGCCCCGAGGGAGAAGTGTGGCCGTCTGCTACCTTGTCTCAGGTCAGCAAAGGAAAGGGACTGGCTCGGGCAGAATGGGGTGGGGGATGGTGGGGTAGGAGGAGGAAAGGCTAAAGAGGAGGGGAGTTCAGTTGAATGAAAATTTATTTTTATTCCTATAGGGAATGGTAAAGATTTTTACTCTGTATTTGAAGGATCCAAAATAGAAGAGTCATGATCTGACTTAGAAGTGAGATGAGAGGCCATTTCCTGGCTGCTGCGTGACTGGGAGGGCAAGGGGGATGCGAGGAGACAAATAGGCTATTAGCATGATCTAGGCAAGAAACAAGGAGCTTGGACCCTGCGGGTCAGTGAGATGGTGACAAGTGGTTAGAGTCCTCATACCTGGCAAGACTGAGGCATTTCCTGAGGTTATACATGTGACCAGTGAGAAAGAGAGGCATCAAAAGACCAGAATTTTAAACGTGAGCAACTGGAAGGAAGGAGTTCCAGCAACAGGAATGGAGGAGATGCCAGGGAACAAGTTCTGAACACATCAAATTTGAGATGCCTCTAGGACACCCAAGTGGAGTTTTCAAGTAGGAGTTAGTTCGGGAGACGTAACAGGGCTTGACATAAAAATCTGGGAGCCTTCAGTTTTACAATGTTGGCTGGAACCATGAAACAAGGAG